AACTAAATTTCTCTTAATTTGAGAAAATATAATACTTTATTTCAACTTTGTTTAGTTATGTCTAATGACCATCAAACCAAATCGGTGGTGGACGCAATTCAACATGGTGCATGCCACTATGTTATGAAACCGGTTAGGAAAGAGATCATTGCCACCATATGGCATCACATTATACACAAGAGGGTGATGTCTAAACCTGTTTTAGTTCCACCAGTTGTGGTACATGATTACTGTTCAAAGCAAGACAAAGATGATTCAGTGACCGTAGACCAAGATCGTAGTGAGCAGAACATCAATAAGATAGAAGAGAAAACAACAAAGAAACGAAAAATGACGGTTAAGAGTAATGGTTCAGAACAAGATGACGATAATTCAAGGGCCGTAAGCAAAGACAACTTTGAACAAAGCATCAATAAGAAAAAAAATACATCTTTCAAGAAACCGCGGATGTCGTGGACTGGAGATCTTCAACAGAAATTTCTCGATGCCATCGTTATACTTGGTGGGCCTAAAAGTAATCTAATTATTCTAAAATTTCTAATTATTCAATTTATTTATTATTTTTCTTTTATTTACTAATCTTTTTTTTAATGCAAATACAGAAGCTACCCCAAAGGGACTTCTCAGATGCTTGCAAGATATGAAAATCGAAGGACTCACTCTAAACAATGTGTCCAGTCATCTTCAGGTTAAAACAAAAACAATTATATATTGTTTATTGTGACAATTAAACTAGGATTCTGGAAATATGAATAACAGAAATTCTACATCAACTGTGTTGTCGTGCAGAAATATCGTCAAACTATTGAGGAGAACCCAATTCCTCAACAGTACCCAGAAACTGGTTGGTCTAGTGTCTGTAAACCCTCACCTTTCTTAGGTATGAACAATTGTTTCTTTGCACCATCATCCCTTTTGAATGGCCCACCTGTTTACCCGATCCAGGACAATCAATATCAAAATGGTTACTTAGCAATGAACAACAACCAGTTCGTGACCAATAATATGCCTGGGTTTCCCTTCTTGAACCATGATCACCATCTCCAGCAGCAGCAGCAACAACGAAAATATCAGCCTTTCAATCATGAGAATTACATGATCAGAAAGAATGAACCTGCACAAACTTATAATGGCATCGATTTAACGGATCTTGAGGTTATTTATCCAAGTTTGCCGTATGATCCAAACGAGTTTATGTTCGACGGCTACAATTTCGGTAACTGATTTGAGCTTCTCTTTAAGACGGTCATTGTAGGAGATTATTTGGTTTCTAAGAAAAATCAATATTGTGAGGGAATAATCGGTGACATAGAGGGAACGAGCATGTCTTGTGTGTTGCATGAAGTTAGCTATGATTACATGAGACTAACTA